TGCTCTAAAGCATTTGTGGAATGCACATATTATACATATACTAGTACATATCTGTACATTCCCTGTTTGTGTTGCTCTCAAATGAGCCGCTAAGATCAATAACAAACATATCAATATAATGCTTTTTTCAATTCTTTATTGTGGCTCATTCGTAAACGTTTCACTTATAGCAATTATTTACAAACGGCGCCGCGTATGTTACGCACTGGCATCTCATTAATTAAGCGACTGTAATTCGTGTTTTTTTTTTTCTTCTCTTTGGATCATGTTCGTTAACGTTTTGCCATAGACACAGAGGCGGCTATTATTTGTTAGCCTGGCTGTTTTCGTTTACTGCACTTGCGGAAGCCCAATTGCCGATTCTGCTTTGCCGCACATTCGTGCCCGTTTTACGGGCAACATTTTAGCCAAGCAGCGCAGCGGCACGGCGGTAAATCAAATACAGTAATTTGTCCTTGAGCATTCTGGAAATGAGAACCGATTAATGCAAACATTCGACCCACATATGACCAAGTCAATAACTACATACATATATTAACAGCTGTCTGCAGCGGAGCAGCCAGCGCCATAACAAATTAACAAAATGCTAAAAAATTAATGAACAATAACAAAGCATGCGAGACGCAAAAACAAAACAAAACAGCAAAAAAAAAAAAGAGAGAAGAAGAGAAAAGGCAAATGAAAATGCCGGCAGCAGGTAATGGCGCCAAAAACGCTTTATTATGCCAAAAGTGGGTAATAACAAATATAAAAAAATGAAAGCAAAAACACAGCGGAAAGAGAAATAAAGAGAATGTGAAAAACGGCGACAGGAGCAAATTACATTATATGTAATGAGGTCATTTGCGCGTAAACAATCAGACGGACAGACAGACAAACGGCAAAATGGCTAAAAAGCAAAGAAGAGAGAGCGAGAGAGTGGGGAAGAGAGAGAGAGCGAGCGCCAGTGCTTAGTTAGCTAAAAAGAGAGCGCACGCTAAGCACTCGCATGTTTATCAACAAACTGGCAAATAAATAAATTATGTTGGCAAGGTTGTTAATAAATAATGAACCGAAGCGCGCAACGTTCCCAACCTACAAACACTAAATAAACGCACGCCAAATAAAAGAAAACAAATGCAAAGCGCAAAGCGCAAAACAAAAGCAAAATGGCGGCGCACTGAACGAAACAACAGAACGAAGCAGCAGCAGCAGCACGCGCTCGTGTGAGTGCGAGGGCGCATCTGCATGCGAATGTGTGTGTGTGAGTGTGTCGGTGTGAGTGCAAAGCTTAGGCTTAGGCCGGGCAGTTGATGGGTTTTTTTTTTTTTATTTTGGCATTGCCAAAATGCATTTGATTTGCCTAATGATTTTGCATATCTAGCACACACACACACACTTACACATATATGTATGTGTACACCCAGGGCGCTAGCGCAGCTGTGGGACGCACACAACTAAACGCCACACCCACACACGCCAGCCATCTCGCTCTGGCTAACGGCAGCCATTGTCATTTGTTTGCTCATCACTTGGGCTGTTTTCAAGTTTGGCTGGCGCCATCTAGCGCTGAATGTCATAGCTCATATATATTTTTTTGTTGCATAATTTTATTAATTACAAATTATGCGCTTAATTAAATGGGGCAACACTGGCCACGGCAACGGCAACATGAACGTCAACGTAGACAGCAAGCGGCAACGCCGCCGCATCGGCTGCTTTCGTGGGCACTGCCCAAATGAATTTTGCATAAGCATCAGCCAACCACAATGCAGCAGCAGCAGCCGTCGCAGCAGCAGAAGCTGTCACAGCCGCAGTCGTTGTCCGCACGCTGTGCGCCTCCCCCCTCCACACAGCCAGCCCATACCCTGGCGCATAGGCCAAAGCTGCGCTCATGCTCTCACGGCGCAGGGTGGTTGCGCATTGCCAGAAAAGAGATAGCAATAGCAACAGCAGCCTACGCAGCAGCAGCCGAGCGCGTGCGAGCGAGAGCACGCAGGCCAGAGAAAGCGCCAAGGGTGCAAACCAATAACAGTCAGACTAATTTTGGGATTGGTTTATAATTGAAGAGTTTGCCATTGTGTTTGCTCAGGCAGCGGGCAGCGGGTATCGGGCAGCAGACAGTGGCCACCTCTTGTAGTTTTTATAGCAAGCACTGCCACCTAGCCCCACGCCCCCTCTCCTGTCTGACCCTACATTCTCACTGCTCTCAGTTGACGTCTCTTATATACATCGAGGCTGGTCACGGTTGCGTCGGTTGCTGTTGCTGTCTTATTGTTTTTCGTAGGCCTCCCCCCATGCGCCTGCTTATCATTTTGGAGTTTTACATAATTGGCACAGCGCAGAGCAGAGCCCACAGCACACACACACAGACAAGCACACAAACACCCTGTATGTATACATATATATGTATGTATTTATAGCCTGTGTACGTGTCCACGTTTGGTGTCCATTTCTAAGCGTCGCATGAGGGGGCGTGGTATGTTTTCTACACACACACACACGCACACGCACAGACATATCGTTTGCTAGTTTTCGGCTGGGTCACATTCAAAAAGATAAATAAATATGAGTTTGCCCCACCCCGTGTTTGGGGGGGGCGGGGGCGATCTGGGCTGCTGGCTATTGGCGTTTTGTTGTTGCATACTTTTCAGCTGTAATCAGTTTAAATGCTTAACAAAGCAACACAAAGCAAAATGTTCAGAAGCATGGGCAAAAAACACAACAGCTAGACTGAGAGCCAAAGAGACTGAGAACGTCAGCGACTGCCAGCGCGACTGCGACTGCGAGTGCGAGTGCGAGAGCGAGCATGAGCTTTTTATGCCGTTAGAACAGCGCAATGGAGCGCAAATGTGAGAGCGAGAGGGCGGGAGCGAGCAAGAGAGCGAGTCAAAGCAGCAATGGCTGCCTCCTCTCCTGCTTTTTAGTTGCTATTCATATTTGTTTTAATAATTGAACATTTCTATAAATATTTGATGCATAGACAAAAGAGTTGTGTGCAATGTCCGTGCTCGTCCCCCTCCCCCCCCCCCCCCTTGCCATTACCCTTGCTCGCGTTCTGGGTGTCTCATTCAGTTAAGACCCTTTCAAACTTTTGCGTCTCTGTGTGTGTGCGTGTGTGTGCCGTCGTCTCTCGTTCAATTAAAGCTACATGACACAAAAGATTTTGTAACAAGTGCCATCCCGACGTCTACCACCACCACCCCCCCCCCTGCCCGCCTGCCCCCCTGCCACCATCATCTGCTTGCTGCCAAAAGTTGAGCCAGTTTTTCAACTAGAGTTTCCGCTCAAGTTTCAGGATTTCTGTTTTTCTTTTGTTTGTTGCTGATGCTATAAAGCAAAGGGTTCCTCCCACTCAGCTTTGCCACTGGACTTTAATTAGAAGCAAGTCGTTGTCCGACTTAATCTACACACTCAACATATACATATATATATATGTATATATATATACGTAGATACTTTTCAACTTTAAATGCCAATTTTATGTTAGACTTAATTATTTAGACACAGGTCTAAGCCATTTATTTGAATGGCCCACAAGTTGTTCCCTTAACTTTGGGCCATATTCATCGACTATCCAGCTGGACCAAAAGCAACTAAACTGATTCGACATGGAGATTACGCTTTTGAGCTCCGATCTATTCAATAGCTATGATTGAAAGTTGCAATTTGTTTAATTCACATTGTCAGAAACCCTGGAACCAGAGCTCAAGCATTCTAACTTCTGTTCCGGATTTCGTATTCCGATTCAAATTTAAACACTTTTTTAAACCATGAACGCATTGAAAATGGGTAAAAAGGGTATAATGTATTTGTGCAAATGCATGTAACAGGCAGAACAGGAAGCATCTCCGACCCCATAAACTATATATATTCTTGATCAGCATCAACAGCCGAGTCGATCTAGCCATGTCCGTCCGTCTGTCCGTCCGTCTGTCCGTCCGTCTGTCCGTATGTACGAACGCAAGGATCTCAGAACCTATAAGAGCAAGAAACTTAAAATTTTAGCTGTAGGTCCTCCTAGTGCCCGCGCAGATCGAGTTTGTTTCCGATATTCGATATAACTTGCCCCGTTTCCAAGTAATCGATAAAAATCGATATCGAAATCCCGTTTTTTGAGGAATTTCGGCAAATAATATGAGCTAGATTCACCAAACTTGACATGTAGCTTCTAGAATAGTATATATATATCAAGTATCTTTCATTTTATACCAATCGCCTGTTGGAAGATGAGGGTACAGGGTATCCCCTAGTCGGGAGCTCCCGACTAGAACCTCTTACTTGTTTTAGCATAATTTGAGTATGACGAAGATATATGTACTTTACCAATTAGCGATTGCTTATCGAAAGATCTCGATATATAATTGGACTTGCTCATAGGCTAGTACATTCAGAGCTGAATGCTGATCAAGAAGAGTTGTCTGTTTTTTACTACTTTAATAAGATGTTTAAGCAGCAAAATGTTGAATGGAGCCGATTTCCGCTCATGTTTCACACTTGCGCGTGGAATGTTCAAAAATCCCATCTTAGCGTGCACTCATATGGTAATAACAGCAACTATCAGTCAGTCAGTCAGTCAGTCAGTCAGTCAGTCAGTCAGTCAATCAATCGGTCAATCAGTCAGCACAAACCGCTTTACGTAGAGTTGAGTGTAGTTTCCTCTTGAGCAGGCCTTGAGTATGCCTTCAAATTGCAATTTGCTAAAAAATTCGACTGAAAATTCAGCAACTAGATCGGCGCGTAAGTAACCTATGCATCATATGTATCCACATATTTATTTATGTATCCACATATTTATATATATATAGATGTATATACATATATAGATGTAGATGTAGTTCGTGCCTTGAGGAATGCGTTAAGCAAGTCTAATTGAACGGAGAACTTTCAGAATTTGGGATTGAAAGTTCGTTGGAGACATCCACGATTCGATTCCAAATAGAAGAATTCCAAATCCGTTATCAAATCTGAAATGCTGAATGGATATGTATATCGTCCTTTGGTTCTTAATCCATCTGCAGATGCACCATTCAATGGATCAACTGGACATGCTGGATCCGACGGGCTCGATGACAACGTTAGCCCCCATATCGGAGTCGCCCCTAACGCCCACACATCAGCACCTGCACGGTTCCTATCACAGTATGAATCACATGATGAGCCACCACCATCCGGGCACGTTAAGTGGCCACACGGCGGGTAAATATTAACACACACGCACACGCACACGAACACGCACGTAGCAATGCCCAAGCTGATGGCCACTCTCTCTCTATATGGACACAGGGCACCATGGACACTCAGCGGTACATCATCCTGTCATAACGGCGGCCGTGGCAGCCGCTGGCCTGCATCCCGACACAGACACCGATCCGCGCGAGCTCGAAGCGTTCGCGGAGCGCTTCAAGCAGCGTCGCATTAAGCTGGGTAAGTTCCCGATTCCGTAGAGTTGAATCTACAGAGAACTCTTTAAGCTATTTTACTCTGCGCTCAAATTGCAAATCTCTTCAATTTCGCCTCGTTTTCGCCGACAGCTCTCTCCCTCTCTCTCTCTCTCTCCAGAGTCTAGACCCGAAAGTCTGAGAAAAGAACTAGTGTAAAGAGCACTACAAATACTTAAGAACTCTGTTCAAATGACTTTTAGAACCGAATCTAATCAGAAACAAAACTGATTCAAAATAGAACTAGTATCCGATAAGGAAAGCAGCACATTTTGTTCTCAAAAGAACTGGAACTGGAATGGAAACCTAAAAAACCTGATCTTATTATACCAAATTGCAGATAGGTTTAGAAGCCAGTCTTAAGGGAAGTAGAACTCCTTGCAGATACAACCAGAAATCGGAGAAATCTAACATTATTATATTAACTAAGTCTCAACTAGAACTGAAGCTGGTTCTATGTTCAATTGAGTTCAATCAAGAAAGAACCACAGCTAAATAGAACTCGGAATTGATTTAGCTGCCTCATATTGAATTGAACTGCAGCTTGAACCTAATCGAAATGGGAATTACACTACAGGCAGAATGGAGACTTTCAAAATTTGTTTTACAACACTATACTCTCTCTTTTGCGGTAAAGTGCTTATTAAAGATATGCTTACACCTTGAACTTAAACTTCAACACAATTAGGCTCTTTAAAAATCGTTTTACAACACTCTAATTACTTTTTTCGCAATGTAAACAGTGCTGTAAAGTGGTTGACAAATACAAGCTTAGACATTGACCTTTAATTGCTATGAATTGTTCCACTTTGAGTTCAAAATGTGTTCGACAACACTATAATTACATTTTTCCGCTTGCGTAAGCAGTGCTGTAAAGTGTTTGGCCAAAGATATGCGAAGCTGCTCTACAACATTTTGATAGCCGACGAGAGGTTGCACTTTAAGCTCATAAATATTTGATTATTTACATTTTTTATTTTTGTTGTTTTTGCATTAAACAGTGTTGTAAAGTGTTTGTTGTGTTGTGAATCTGTTTCTTTGCGCGCAGGTGTCACACAAGCGGACGTGGGCAAAGCGTTGGCCAATCTCAAGTTACCTGGCGTCGGTGCGCTGTCGCAGAGCACAATCTGCAGATTCGAGAGCCTGACGCTATCCCATAACAACATGATCGCGTTGAAGCCCATACTGCAGGCGTGGCTGGAGGAGGCCGAGGCGCAGGCGAAAAACAAGCGACGGGATCCAGATGCGCCCAGTGTGCTGCCGGCGGGCGAAAAGAAAAGGTAGAAAGTGTTTTAATTACAAAACGGTAATAACACCCACAAAGCAGTGCCAACTATCCCCACCAACCCCCTCCCCCCTCCCCACCACTCACTCAACCAGTTAACCCCTAAATTGGCAGCATATTTAATTTGGCAACGATCAAGCGAAAAAATGCAAAATGCAAAATGCAAAATGTCCACAGCACAATAACAAGAACTCAGTAGCTCAGCGTTAATGCATTGTTGGGGGCCCATTTCTAAAGTAATCTATATCGAGTCTTTTTTCAAGAAAAAGGACTTCCATTGCGGCACCTGAAAAGCGCTCCCTGGAAGCCTATTTCGCCGTCCAGCCGAGGCCGTCCGGTGAGAAAATCGCTGCCATTGCCGAAAAGCTGGATTTGAAGAAAAACGTGGTGCGCGTCTGGTTCTGCAATCAACGCCAAAAACAAAAACGTATGAAATTTGCCGCTCAACAACACTGACAATCAAATAATACAGCCACACAATTAGGTATAGTTAGTAGTGTAACACCATCAATGACGGGACACGGCTCCGCCGGATTCGGATACTGATAGTCATTTATGACGGCAGCAGCGGCAGCGACAGCAGCAGCGGCAGCGACAGCAGCAGCGGCGTCGGCAGCAGCAGCAGCAGCAGCAGCAGCGGCAACAGAAACAACAACAGCAACAGCAGCAGCAACAGCGGCAGCGGTAGCGGCATTTTCCTCTTCTTCTTCTTCTTCTTCTTCATCTTCATCTTCATCTTCTTCTCTACCCATAACGGGCGACTATTATCTTTAGTAATTCGGATTCGGATGCCGATTCGGATTAGGATTAGGATTCGATTCAATTGGATGACGTTTGGCCGGCAACAACAACAACAACAACAACAACAACGAACAAGAACATCTTTACAACACTTTTCATTTTATAGTCTGGCAACACCACACACACGCACACACACACACACACACACAGCTTAATGCGTTAAAATGAGAGAGAGAGAGAGAGAGAGAGAGAGAGAGAGAGAGAGGGAGAGAGAGGAAAATTTTAACGTAAAATGTAAACATGAAAAAGAACCACAAAAGAATTTTTTTAGGATCGAATATCGAAACAATGGACCAACATATCAAATGCAATAATTTATTGAATTGTATAGGAGAAAAAGGTGGGTAAAAAAACAAACACAAAAACAAAAACAAAAACAAATACAAAATATAAAAACACGACTTCGGCATGCCGAAGCTTAAATACCCTTGCAGACATTTAACTTATTTAACATTTAACCAATTGTGAATCTGGTTGAAAAAAAAACTCCATTCTCGATCGATGCCTTATTGAGAGGAACATGAATATAATACTGCAATGTCGATGGAAGGGTATTGGAAGTCGTAAACACCTTCTATGGCAGCTGTAGCATAAAGTTGTCCGATTTGCTAATGTACAAATCACTTTATGGCGTCGACTATGCCGCTTTCTTTGCCTTACAAGGGTATACAAGGGTAAAAGACGAAGTTGCAGCTCGATCTGTTGCTAGACTTACAACAAAAAACAAAAAAAACATTTCGACTATCTTCGCTGGGTTGTTGGTTGGGCTGACCCGGCCGAGAGCATACCCTGTTCAAGCTAATCGAAACGTGCTCTCCAGCTGTATTTCGGCCGTTTTAGCCGTTTTAGCCGTTTTAGCCGTTTTATGGCCTTTTCACTTTGTAGCGTTGTTTATCTCTGAGCTGACAAACTTTAATGCCTAATGCCAATCCTTGATGTCCTTTGATGTTCCCTACTAATCAATTCATTTTGAAATCTATTTGTTTTTTTTCAGATTTAAAAATTAACACAAAAAAAGAAAAACCAAAACAAAAACAAAAACAAAAGAAATGCCAAAAAAAAAAACAAAAAAAGCAAATAAAAAAATAAAAACACAATTAACACAGGGCAAAAACCCCTTGTAGATGCAAACAGTTACGACACACACACACACACACACACACACACACACACACGTAAAGCGACCAAAAAAAAAGAACTCCACGAAAATTGCTTCAAGTGATCCGATAATAAGAATTGCGCTCTATATGAAAAAAAAAACATAAACTAAAAAACCTACGACTAAGCTAAAACTGGATAAACTACAACTAAATGAAACACACACACACACACACACACACGAACACAGCGTTATATTGGCCTATGTATATGTATATATATTATAGAGTTTTTGATTCGATTGTAAATACCGCTAACGAAACTAACCTAACTTTCTAATAGAGACAAAAACAACCTTAAGTAGTTGCAATAGTTAGAATTTAAATCCACACACACACACACACACACACACACACACACACGCATAGACACGCCTAGACACGCCCCGTAACGAGCCGGAACCAAACCGGATCCAATCCCAGCGGAACCTAACCTAGCAGCAAAATTTCTTGATGCTTCCTTCAGTGCGTTATAGTATTTAGTTAAACATTTTTTTAATTCCATTTTTTTTTCTATTCAATTAGGCACATATTTAACCTTAGCACACACACACACACACACACACACACAGAAAACACACACAGCAAAGTTTTTTTTTACTTAAACTTAAGTAAACAAATGCAGAAAGCAAAAAAAAAATGTTAGCAACAACTGAAAATATTGCAACGAATTTAAACAGTTGCCAAACTAAACTAACGAAAATACAAAAATTACCAAAAAAAAAAACAAAAAACATATATATATAAAGAACATTGATTAATAACTAAAACTAACTATAGTAATACATAAAGAATTTTAACAAATATTATATATACTATATATACTTTTTTTTTTGTTTTTTTTTTTTAATTTAGCACATTTAATAGTCTTAACTAGACTTGTACATATGCAAAATGAGAATAATATATATAGTAAATACTATATATATACATATATACTATATATACCATGGTATATATTAAAGAAATCGTAAGCAACAGGCGCAAAGAGATTCAATAATAATTTTAACATATGAAATTAGTTTTGTATCAAAAATAACACAACAATGAAAAAAAAAAAAAACTTTAAAAAAAAATACCAAAAAAATACCAAAAATAAAAAAACAAAAAAGTCAACATTGCCGACAAACTAGTGCATAAACAAACAATTTTTTTCAAGCGCATAATAATTATAATAATTACAAAGCATACATATATAAAACGGAAAATGTAATAATATGATAATTGACACAAATGGAAAAAAAATGCTCATAACTACAATTAAATTTAATTTTAGTAGTTTCTAGACACAAAATATTGTAGCATGAAAATCAATTGATAAGCGAGCTGGCGGCCGATAAGTAAATAAAATGCAGCTAAATAAGCTAAAACTCAAACAAAAATAATTAATAAAAAAAAAAAAGAAAAACAAACAAATATTTTAATTTTGTACAGCATACGGTAAAGATCTTTGAGAAATAAAAATGAATCAGTTTCGATCAATTTTTCAGATCTCGCCTATCGATATTTTCCGTCGATAAATCGCGCGAACTAGTTCGAGCCGTTGTTTTTTTTTTTTCCGTTTTTTGGCAAAAACATGGTAACACTTTTTTGAAGCTTTCCGTTTTATTTTGAATCTACAATATTGCGGTTAAATGACAGTTAAATGTTCAAATTTGCAACTTTATAATAGTTTTCTGTTTGTGTTTAACTTAAAACAACATTGCTTTCAGCATATTCATTTCAATCGATCGATTTACAACTAACTTTAACTAACAGCTACATGAGCTAAAATAAATTGATTGATGCGTCTTTGCGTCCTGGCAAGAGTGTACATTTCTTTATATGTACATCATACAAAAAATTAACACTATGATCTATTTCGCAGATATCATTTGACACCAGGTCCATGATGCATGATTTAAGTGGAATTTCGTGTATATATATACTATATATAAGCTTTAATTAGACATGTATACATTGCTTCAGATTACGACATTATATATATATATATATATGCTATATGCTTCATTTGTATATCACTTATACATTTACCTACTTTTTGCCTGGGCATAAATAGTTATTTATTGCTTCAAATTTCGTCAAGTACAAATAGTTCAAATCGTTCTCAAATAACAAAATTATGTTTAGCATATGAAATTGAAAAAATTCGGAAAGAAAAATAATGTGTGTGTTGTGTTTACGTTGGGTATATTCAGTATCTTTTATAGTGCACAAATTCGAAAAATGGGCAATTTGTAATGTTTTTATGTGGCTTTGACATGGGAAACTTAAGGATTTATGTTTAGGGTTAATATGACAAACAGTTTGCACCTAAACAACGCAATGATTCTAGATGAATTCTCAATGAATTGCGCCCGAGATAGCTGTGTAGAATACGGTCACATAGAACTAGATAGTTTTGGTATTTATTGGCGCCAAGCTATAAAAAGGGGTTCAATAACTTAGGCGTTTATAAACCGCAATTCATTGAGTGTTTGTTTGGTTTGTTTTTGAAATTGTTGTGGCCAAGAGAATAGATGGTCTATATATGTATATATACTGTTTATATGATTCTTGGCAGTTGGCGACATGGTGGTATATTTAGTATTTCAATTGGGTCCCCGTCATTTGCAGCTCTGTGACTCTAGACTCTAGACGACCTTGTAGCGACCCTTGTTGAACACATGATGGGCCGAGCTGAGCTTGAGGAGCTCCTCCTTGATGAGGCGCGTTATTTCGCGCTTGGCCTTCTGCACGGCCAGTTCGCTGCAGCTCTCGATGGCCAAATAGAGTTTGCGTTCACCCTCGGGCGGATTCTTGCCCTGCGGCACATAGGTTCCACGCACTGTAAGGCCCGCCTCCGAGTATTCGGAAATTTGGGCCAGGGCCTCCTTGGAGGTAACCTTCCAGCGTGCCTGTTGCGGAAAATCATTGATTTCCAGCTCCTCTTCGTATTTGGTAAACGAATTGCTGTTGCTGCCCATCAGAGCCGCCAGCCCCTCCTCATCCTCCTTGGGCTGATAATTGAGCTTGTTGTTCAGCTTGGCGGCCAGCTGCTCGACCACGTTGCGTGCCGTCAGCATGGGCTGTGCGTTGCCAACGCCCGTCTGGCCCTTCAATAACGACTCGGCGGCCACCTGTGTGGCCTTTGTGTCCAGATTGCGGCTGCTGCTTATCTTGGACGCCAAACGTTTGGCCAGCTCCAGCTTGTCGGAGCCCATGGCCACGACAGTGGCTAGCTGTTGCTGCTGCTGCTGTTGTTGCTGCTGCTGCTGTTGTTGTTGTTGCTGTTGTTGTTGTTGTTGTTGTTGTTGCTGCTGTTGTTGTTGCTGTTGTTGTTGTTGCTGTTGTTGTTGCTGCTGCTGCTGCTGCTGGGCGACAGTTAAAGGCGATGTTATAGCTGCGCTGAGAGCATTCACAACGGCATTGGCCGCGGCCAGAGCTGTGCCGGCCAGCGAGGTATCCTTGACGGTACGTTTGGCGGCAAAGATTTGCTCGATCTGCTGATCGATATCCTGTTCGATGTCCTCCTCATCATCGGAATCGGCCAGGCCGAGCGCAGCCTTTTGCAATTTTTTGCTCTCCTTGACCGCATTGAATTCCTGCTCATCAAATTTGAAGCCTTTGCCACTGAAGCCGCCGCCAGTGTGCACCGTCTTGCCCTCCGCCTCCTGCGCTGCCTTATAGTCGTTCCACAGGGTCTGCAGATCGGGCGGCACAGGTGTGCCAGATAGATCCAAAGCTCGTATCACATCGCCCGCATACCGGGACTGTTCTGGCGTAATGAATGTAAAGGCGCTGCCCTTATTGCCAGCGCGGCCAGTGCGTCCGCATCTGCAAGGATGCAAGGTTCGAGATGAGAAAACTAGATCAGAAATGTGGAGTGTGAAATGTGATTGTCGCTAGACTTACCTGTGCACATAGTCCTCGTAATGGTTGGGCACATCATAGTTGACCACCAGGATGAGATCCTTGACATCGAGGCCACGCGCCGCCACCGAGGTGGCTATCAGCAAACGCACCTTGCCGGACTTGAAGTCAATGATGGTCGAGTCGCGATCAAACTGATCGATGCCACCGTGCAGGCTCATGCATGGATAGGATGCCTTCATTAGGTCGCGCAACAGAATGTCGGCATTCTCCTGCTTATCGACAAAGACAATAATGCTGCCCGTCTCCTGATAGACCCCGAGCAGTTCGAGCAGTTTAAAGAACTTCGCCTCATCGCTCAGTATGACCACATTCTGTTCGACATCCTTGCAGACAACAGATCGTCCGCCGACGATCACCTCGACGGGCTTCTTAAGTATGCGACGGGCCAATGCCTCCATTTGGCGCGGAAATGTGGCGCTAAACATGACTGTCTGTCGATCTGGACGCACATTGTCAATAATGCGCATCACCTGCGGCTCGAAGCCCATGTCGAACATGCGATCCGCCTCATCCAGGACAACATAGGTGACGCGACGCAAATTGGTGACACGTCCAGAATTGGCTGCCAGCATATCGATCATGCGGCCGGGCGTACAGACAATTATTTCGGCGCCACGTTTCAGTTCGGCAATCTGTTCGGAGATGCCGGTGCCGCCATAAACGCAAACCGGCCGCAATCCCAGCGAGCGACTAAATTTTCGTATATCCTTGCCAATCTGCATGCAGAGTTCGCGAGTGGGCGCCATTATGATGGCAATGGCGCCATCGCCATCCTCCAGCGACGGCTGGTCCAGTATGTGCCTAAACATTGGTAAAATGAATGCCAACGTCTTGCCACTGCCAGTTTTAGCAATACCTATCAGATCACGCCCAGACATTATCGCCGGTATCGCCTGGCACTGTATGGGCGTTGGCTTCTCGAAGCCCAACCTGCGCAGCACGTCCATCTCTTTCTTGCTAACGCCGCACTGTGCCCACGTCTGCAAGGAGTCCAAGTGTTTACACCTGTTTAGCAGCAAATTCAATTGAAAAAGTCGACAGCACACTTACCTTGATCGGCTTGGGGCAGCCCTTGCCCTTGACCTGTACGCCCTCGAGCTCGGTGCGATACTTGTCCACCTCGGAGTTGGTCATGCGCGCCAGTTCGGGCACCTCGACGTAGAAGTTCTTACGGAATGGTGCATAGCTGACAGACGAATGATCGATTTTTGCCAGCTCTTTGCGATGCTTCATGGCCAAATTGACGGCCGTGTCGCGTATATCCTCTAGCTCATCCTCGCTGGAGTATTCCAGGCTGTCCATGTTCTGTTCAATCAGTTCGCCCTTCTTCGCCGTGTTCGTCTTCTTTTTGGCCACGCCCGTCAGTATAACCACGCCCTGCGCCTTGGCAGGACTAACGAAATGATTGACACGGCGCATCTCCCTGTTGACCTCCTGCATGTACGCATCCAGTGGATCAACATCATCCTCGGGCTCCTCAGCTGCTGCTGCCGCCGGCTCGGTCACCATGGGCGTCTCCTCCTTGGGCGGATCGACTGCTGGCTTCACTTCAGCTGACTGTTCAGCCTTGGGTGGCTCCTCTTTTGGCTGTGCGACCTCGACTACCGTTGGCTCCGGTTTGGACGATGCTGTCGCCGTTGTTGTCGCAGTTGTTGTCGGAGTTGCAGTTGTTGTTGTTGTTGGTGCTGTTACAACGGGCGATGTCAGTACCATGCCCAGGACCTTGCTAAAGGTGGGTCTCTTCAGCGGCGCAAACTTGGACTCGACCAGATCGTCGTCGAAACGCTTGCGTATGCTATGGAATTTGGATGGCGGCGAGTCGGGCTCCTTTTTGCTGATATCAATGTCGATGGTTGGCGCCGGATTGCTGTCATCCTCCTCGGATTCATCCTCGAGGCTCCATTTCTTAGCCGACTTGGTCACTGTTGGCGCCAACGGCGCCTTGACATCTCGCTTGCCGGCCTCCTGCTCTCGCTGTTTGCGCTCGGCACGCCAGCGCTCGATGCGTTCGCGTCGCTTGATCATCTCCTGTTCGAGGCGGCGCTGTTGCTCCTCTTTGTCAATTTCCTCCTCCTCCTCATTGTCCGTGGAGCTGCTGGAGGAGCCAACGGGTATTACTAGAGGCGCAGCGGGCACTGTGGCCCGACGCATTTCCTGTTCGCGCTGGCGATCGCGCTCACGCTCTTTATCCCGTTCCCGTTCCCGTTCACGATCTCGGTCCCTTTCGCGCTCCTTATCCCGTTCTCGCTGCCGCTCCCGTTCTCTGTCCCTTTCGCGCTCCCTTTCCCGCTCACGTTCGCGATCCTTGTCCTTGTCACGCTCACGCTCCAGCTGTCGTCTGCAAACAAAAAAAATGGCATTACGACGGGGTCATCTATATTCTGAACAGAATTCGCTTACTTGTCCTTTTCGTAATCCTTCGACCTAGAACGCTTGCGTCGCTTCTCATCGCGACGCGGGCCGAGACCCCGATCATTATCCTTGGCCGGTTCTTTGATCCGCTTGCGCTCCTCGCGGCCGCTGCGCGAACTGCCGCTCAGACTGCCACCGTTGCGTGAAGATTTGCCATTGTCGTAGTCGCCGCGCCCGCTGCGATTATCATAGTGCTTGTCACGCTCCCGCTCTCTATCCCTGTCACGCTCCCGCTCCCGGTCGCGGTCACGCCTGTTTACATTGAGGTTAATACGTATTTTGGCCAGCGTTTTGATCACTTACCCAGAGTTTTTGGACATGGCCAACGACGCGCTTATTTGTTACTGTTGCGCCCTGCGAAACGCCGGCGGCTCGTCTAATATAAATAAAAGCCTTTAGCTTAACCTAAACTATATCTCTGTATAAGGCAGAATTGTGCAATTGCTTTTAATTAATGCTTTTTGTTTGACTGCGTCGATTTGTTTGCGTTTTCTTAATACAAAAAATAAGTTATGCCTTAAATTTGGCATATAAAATTGTAATCGTTTGCCCAGCAGGGCTGTACTAGCGGGCCAGGGCTGCAATACTTTTTATTTTTTATAAATAGCGCCTGCAGCGCTGCCATACTTTTCGAATCAAAGCACAACATGCTATTTTCATTGAAATGCAGTATTACATATGTTTGTCGAACTTAAAAATTGTAATTTGAGTACGCATGGCCTTTTGCTTGAATAGCAATATTTTGTTCAGCAAGTCAACACAATGGGGCCATGGTGGTACGACTTTAGCAATAGCGCTGCAGCGTTGCCACATTACATTGTACAAATCAAATCAAGACCGGCATTTTTATTTTCAAATTGCGAATTTCTTAATTCATAATGTGCCTTATGCTAATTGCTTATTAAAAATATGTATAACAATATGGAATTGTTAATTTGAATTTAAATGAGCAATTAACATTAGCAAGTTATTCATGTGTTTCGATAGAACAATTGTTACAGTGCTGCAGCCCTGCTTTTTTTCCCCGATAAATTGCGCATGGTATCGATACCCAGCTGTCAACTATTGTTTTGCTCGGTGTCGCACGTGTAAGTTCCATACGAATTCAGATAGAAGTCGGCACGCTAAAAACAACTATCTGGACATATTGTGGTTTTTATATATTGAATTTGCACAAACATCAATAACGATGCTGCCACAATTTGAGATAATTGTTGGCACCTACGACGAATATCTATTGGGCTATCAAATGGCCTGGCGTCGCGACAAAAAAGGATCGGATTATATCCAACTGAAGGCGACCTTTGCCGACAGATCACACGACGGCTCGGTGAAGTGTCTGGCCGTGCACGGACACCTGGTGGCCACCGGCGGGCTAGATGATCGCATCTTTGTATATGATATGCGCACACGGAAACAGGCGCACGTCCTCACGATGCACACGAGCACGGTTAATACGCTGGTCTTCACATCGGATGCGTCGCACTTGATGTCGGGCAGCAAGGATGGGCATTTGATAGCCACACGCTTGGCCAACTGGTCGCCTGAAGCTGAATGGACCAAGCCCCATAATGGCAAACCCGTTACACATGTCGCCTGTCATCCGAGCAGCCGTCTATGCCTATCTCTGGGCGCCGATCTGGTGCTGAATACCTGGAACTTGATCAAGGGACGCATCGCGTACAGAACAAACCTAAAAAGCAAACGTTCCCTGGGCAGCTCACCCGATTGTCTGGCCTGGTCGGCACAAGGCAATTACTTTTCCATGGCCGGCCCGGCTACCTTCGAGATTTGGAACATTCGAACGGCTAGTGTCATGCGTCAAATCAAGATGCCCTCGAAGCCCATCTGCGCCACCTGGCTGGATGATGAAAACTGCGTGGCGGGTCTTGAAAATGGCACCATCGCTTGGATCTCGCTGGATTTCGATGAAACGGCTGCCGTAAATATCTTATTTTATAGATTTTTCCCCGACTTCAATTGATTTTTCTATTTTGCTTACAGCCGAAGATATTGCCCGGCCACAGCAATCGCGTCAAGGCCATATCCTTCATGCACAACACGGTGGTTAGCATCTCCAGGTGAGTGTTAACGTGTCCCGAACGGGTTTGACTAACTGACCGACTGACTGATGAAGAACGTTCTGGCCAATCCGCATGAACGAGGCGAGGTATTTGTCGAGGGGGATATTATTATATTCCAAAGTGTCTGATGCACAGATGGAGGCATCTCTGCCGAGTCCATGTGGCATGTCCTGGCCTCAATTGTCTATCTGTCTGTGTCTGTCTTGGTTAGGAACTCCATGCATAGAAACCCTTTTTGCTAGTCAAGATATCGAAAGTTGAAACTTAGTTCTAGTTTGATTATTCGGATTACTATAACATATAGAACCTGACTATTCGCTGCGTGCAAAATCGAGTTGCAAGTTAGTTTGGCTCTATGCCCAAGGGAAATTGATAGTGAATATGTATGTTTGCTCGACTTTATATAGTCGCAACTGAAAGGACGGAAAATAGTGAAAAAATACACTGTCTGTTGATGTGCATAAAAGAGAGATAATTGAACATTTGCAGCGTCGGCGAGATCAAGGTCTGGAGTTGCGATCTGCCTGGCAAGGAGCTGTCGCTCATCACATCCGCCAACATAGACTGTCGTCCCACCTGTATGTCGCTGCTGGATTCAACGCAGTTTGGCCAGCAGCACGAGGACACTCGCGACCGCATCGATAAGCAGAAGACAGCCAGGATGGCCGCTCGCATCGAGGCATTGGAGTCGCTGAGGAATCGCAGTTTCGTCTCAATTGAATACGATGAGGATGTTGGAGAAACCGATCCGGTGCTCGGCCGCGATGCGGACAGCGAACATGAGAGTGACAGCAACAAAAGTCAATCTGAGTGCGACAGCGATGAAAGTCTGGAAGAGCCCGACACAAATCAGACTAAGCGCAAGCCCAAGCCCAGGCCGAAGCCAAAGCAAAAGCAAACGCAAACAACAGCACCACGTGGACCGCTGATAGCTAAACGTCCGCTAAAGCGTGTGCCCGCCCCGGATAGCGAGGATAGCGAGCCCGCCGAAGACTTCATTAGTCTGATGCCAAGCGAAAACTCTGCGCCCCGCCTGGCCGGCAGGAAGGCGGCCAAATTGACGCAGCCGAAGCGTGCGAAACAGGCAAATTGAGAAACTACATATGTATATCTATTTAATCAGCTAGTTTAGTTTAGTCTGTATTATTAGCACGGCCAATAAACGTCAGCAATGGACACATTCAAGTATCACATTTTGTACCGGCTGCGCATGTAGCGCTCGTCGGGTATGAGCTGGCGCGTATATTTGCCCAGGAATTGCCGGAATCGTCCATTGTCCAGCACGCACAGCGGTATGTTGGCGGCGCGCAAAGCTGCGCATAAGTCCAGCTGGAAGTTGCGCTCATTTTGTGGCGCATCCTCTATGTCCGACACGCCCACAACATCCACAAAGCTCTCCGTTTCGCCATCCGTTGTTGCCCAATGTTGTTCTTGTTGTTGTTCGTGTTTTGCTGCTTGGAACTCGTTGTTCATGTGGCCAGAGCAGTACAGATGCTGCACCAGCTGCGCGCGCCGATTGGCAGTTAACTGTAAATGTAGAATTATTGTTTTAATAACTAGCGTCTATTTTTGGTTATCAAATCGAGAGTTACCAATCTGTTGCACAGCGTGCAGTGCATGTAGCCATTGTGGGGCTCGAAGCACTCCTCGCCCAGCTCCGCCTGCCATTTGTACAGCAAATGTGTTTTAGCATTTGGCCTCCTCATGACCTTGAACCGAAAAAATGCAAGCATATGCAAAGCGCGCATATCCATATGTACGTATGTATGTGTGTATGCGTGCACGTGCTTCTTTTCGTATGTGTGTGTGCGTGCTCTTAAGTCACCTGCACATCTTTGAGCTGTTGAGCGGGAAAGTATGTATGTATATGCATATAGAGTGCTGCTTTTCTTACATGCGTTACAAATTAAAACAGCATGCAAAGCGCCGTTATTTTCGAACTGCGCATGTGAGAAGGCAACAGACGAGGCTGTGGTGAAAGGCCACGAATTCACCATGGAGAAAAATACACGTAAGAGTGACAGAGCGCGTGAACATAGTGTGTTGTGTTGCAACAGTGTGAGCAAACTAACGGTTTCTTGACACACTGCTGTGCGCAGTTGTCGAATTGTCAGAGCTAAGCTTGCTGCTTCGCTCAGCTGAATTGCAGTCTCTCGCAATTGAACTAGAGAGAGAGTCGCCGCACGCGTAAAAGAGATAGCCGCTGTAGAGGCGCAAATTAACGGCTTTTGGCCAACTTTGTCTCTTCGTGCGCAATGCATTTAATGCACTTGCGCATTGTGGCTAAAAAATGTTGCTCAGTAAATTTAAATTATCCTGCAGCGTGGCAACACTTTTCGATATACATACATATGTAGGTAAATACATACATAATTGTTTTGCCTGCTTATGTTTGAGGTTAGAAAAGTGTCAAATCGCTTGTCAAATGAGATTTTCGTTCGAGCCATTTTGCAAGTTATTCTCGCAGTCTGTTGGCTGCTAAAAAGAGAAAATTGAGTTTGTTAAAAAAAATATATCCTAATCGAAAATTCTGCATACAATCAGAAAAGCCATACATAAAAAGTTTGTATAACACATTATTTTTCGTGCTCCTTTCGTTGTGTTTAGTTTTTTAAGCACTTCTTAGTTGCTTTCGCATCATTGCAGGATATGGTTTGGCCATCTGGAAATTACCCATTGTCGGCAAATGGCAATCGTAAGCGTCTTGCTGATAACAATCAACCCGTTCGGATTGTAAATCTATCCTATAATCCACGTCGTCGCTCCGCTGGCGCACTTGAGCCGGACGCGACTGTTGATATGCATCGCCCGTTGCCGACATTCGCCAATCTCTCTGGAGGCGATAACGATGCTCCAGAGCCACCACCACCACCAGCACCGGCACCAGCTCCGGCCCCGGCACCAGCTCCCGCCCCGGCACCGGCTCCGGGTCCGCCACCAGCACCGGCCGCAGCAGTCGCTGCTCCTGCTCCGGCTCCATCTCCATCTCCGGCTTGCTCTTCCGTTGGTGCCACGCCTTTGATTTTCGCCCGCAACCCGGCTTTGGATCCTTGTTTTGCCCAGGCTACCACCGTGGCCTCGGCTCTCCATCCCGCCTCGGCTCCCACGTCTGCCCTAGCTTCGGGACTCGCTCCCGGCCCAGCTTGCAGTTTGGATCCCTCTTGCGTTTCGGCTCCCGCTGTCAATGGTCAAAACAAGCGAACAGGACGCGCCATCATCGCCAGCGATTACGGAGACGCGGAGTCATACAAGTGTCCCATTTGCTTGGAGAGCGTCTCGGGCCGCCAGCCGGCGACCACCTCGTGTGGCCACGTCTTCTGCTATCCGTGCATCCTGGCGGTGGTGCGCGTCAGCCGCAAGTGTCCCGTTTGCAGCTACACATTGGCCACTCGTCGCTCAATTAAGCGAATATACATCTGAGGCTAAATTAAAGAAAGAATCATGCAAAACATATTTCAACAGTTCTCAACTATTTGGCGGCTCTGGCACTAAATAAATAACAAGCTCTCTCTCTTCGACTCTTAACCGGGTCCAAAGTAAGCTCCAAATTGACGAAAGGTGGCATCACTGTCGACTTGTAAACCTTTATATAAACAAGCATATATATATATATACATATGTACATATTCAGCATAGACCTTTCCGACGGTTCCGTATCACGCCTGAGTTTAGCCCTGATTGGTAAGGTAACGCCTCATGGGTCATGTTGAACTTACTGTGGTGAATAGTCATACAAGAGAGAGAGAGAGAGAGAGAGAGAGACGTCTGTTCGAACTGTTATAATCTGCGAGCTATGAAAACTTTGCAGACTTGATTTTAACATTTAATCGATTTTGTTTATGCCAAAAAATTGCTTATCGTTCGATTGTTTTATTACTTGGTACATGGTTAATTAATGATTAGTGATAACATTTGTTTTTTTTTGTTTTTTTATAGTTTTTTGTGATTTTTTTTAACAATCTCTATATGCATATACAATAAGTTGGGGGGAGGCTACGGATTGGGTTCGGGAGGGGTAAGGGTACGGGGACGGGGGGCTGGGGGACGGGCACTCGCAAGCAGCTGATGCGTCCGACGGAACCGGGGAATCAGCCCTTTGGCGAACGACCACGCCCCCCTCCTCCTTTCCCGCGCGCGGGAAAAAAAACAATTAATTTAATGCGGCAAACGTTTCTTCAGCTTCAGCGGTGTGAATTTTGGATATTGGATGGAGAATATTGTGGATGCCAAGGTACAAGGTTAAACGGGATGCGGAGATGCGGTGTGTGTGTGCGTGGTGTGCGTGGTGTGCGTGGTGTGCGCGTGTGTGGGCGTGGTGTGCCTCAATGGGCCAGAAAGTATTGGATCAGCGTGAGGTAAATGCGTTCCAGCAGCGGCCACATGTGCTCCACAAGCAACTGGATAATGCGCCTAAGCGGCGGACACAGCGTGCACATGTAATCCGTAATGGCATCCAGCACACGCACCACCAAATGTCAGTTATTCCGCTCGAGATGTATGTAGTAGCCGCTGCCCATGCTGCTGGAGCCGCTATCCTTGTCCTTGTCCTTGTCCCTGCTCCTGTTCCTGTCGCTGTCGTTGTCCAGATGCTCCGCTTCGATCGGATAGCAGCCATCGGCACGCTGCATGCAGCCATGCGTCCAGGCCATCGCCTCCTGGAACTTGTCCAGATGCGCCAGATTCTGATAGGCATAGAGCAGCGGATGATCGATATAGGCGCTGCACTCGTAACACCACACGGACAGATCGCTGAAGCTCAAGACGAGCGGATGCTTGGCCCGTCGGCAATGCTGCTCCATGTGCTCATTGATGTAGCGACCGCAGCCGATGCTCTGGCAGCTCAGGCATAACCAATTCTCCACCGTTGAGGCGCAGTCGCCGCATGCGCCGTTTGTTTTTATTGCTACATCGTGACAAGGGGCGTCGGATGGGGGCGTCGGAAGTGGGGGCGGGGGGGTAAGATAAATAGATTAATAACTTGGAAATTCTTGGATTATGTGTAGCATAGAAAGCACGCAATATTTACAAAACGAAAAGCCAACGAAAAGCGTTTAAACATTGTTCGATTCGGGCAAAAATAGTCCAACTGTTATACAGTTGTTATACTGGAGGCAAATGCCGGATGAAAAGTGAAGAAACAGATGACAAACGTTCACAATTTGCGGCGTCTTACATGCACGGCAATTGGCGATATTAAACTGTTATACTGCTATGCGACAGCTATACTGTTATTTTCGTTTCATGCAAAGCAATTCCTTTTAACTGTTATACAACTATTAGGCGACAGCTATACACGATACAAATCAGTTCTTGATATTAACTGTTATACAACTATTAAGCGGCAATGATACTGCTATACGGCTGTTATACCCTTATTAATGATTCCGAATTGTGCTAGCCACAGACAGGTTTTTTGTACTTAAACTGTTATACAGCTACGGCGATAATACCTTCATAAGCTCATACAATTATTATACATGTGTATAGCTGATGAATTATTTTTAAAATGTAAATGTAACTTTTGTATTGCTGTCAAAGCTGTTATACATATTTTGTACAGCTGTTATATAATTTTTAGCTATTTTTATAGCATTGCTATCAGACAACTGTTGCATTGCAGTCGTCCAGCTTCTATTTCTTTGTATAACAGCTTTTATAAATTTGTTCAACTGTTATATTGCTTTACAAAACTGAAAAAAACATGTACAAAACTGTTATACAGTTAGGCGCTTTTCTAACCGTTGCATTCCTGTCATCTAACTACACTACACAACTGTTATATTGTTGGAAAAATAAGCTGTTTAACATTCTGTTATATATACATATGTAAAGGTACATAACAGATAAACTATAACTGTACTTCTTATGCGGGGTATTATATAGAGTTCTTCGACAGACAAGATCAGTAAAAAAAAAGAAGAAACAAACAACAAGAGGAAGCAACACACAGCACAGCCACAAGCGAGAATTAACAAAGCAGAAAGAAAGAGTGAGACAAACATATATGGCAAAATAAAAATAGAGAGAGAGAGGGAGACAGAGAGAGAGAAGTGCATATTGGGGTTTAGCTTACATTTGGGCACCTCCTCCGGACGCAACAGGCTCAAGTGTGGGCAGCTTTTGAGGGGATAAATGGCAAACATTTCCTGCTGCTCGAGCGCCTGGCAAGAGCACGCCAGTCAGAAATGTGGCATACAAAAGAGAGAGAGAGAGAGAGAGAGAGAGAGAGAGAGAGAGAGAGAGAGAGCGAGAGAGGCGCAGTGGGGGAACAAATTGTTAGGGGGAGAGAGAGAGAGAGAGACAAGAGATTAGTGTGTTTGCTAAAAAACTGTTTATGTGTGAGTGCAAAGGCAATATAAATATAAAGCTGCTTGATCAGTGTTGCCAATTCAGCTATTTTCTAGCCAAATTTGGCTATATTTGCCGATTTGTTGGCTTTTTTGTGTGCAAAAATTGTTTAGCTACATTGGCAACTGTTTTAAAGCGAAAGTGGAGCTGCTTGAAATAGCCAGAAAATAATAGCTAAATCAATTTGAAAATAGCCTGAATTGCAGGCAGCTGTAAATTTTAACAGTTTTAGACAAGACATCTCTAAAACCAAACAATTTCAGCTAAAAATAGTTCGATTTAGCTATAAATCAGCCGGTTGCAGCTAATAAATTGCTGATACTAGCTATAAATTAGCCAATAATCAGCTCGAAAATTAGCCCGCTTTTGCTAGAAATCAGTTATAATTACTACAAATATATGTATTTAGCATTATTATTTTAGCATGATTAAATTTTGGCTAGAAACGATATACTCTACTAAAAAAAATGGCCAGTAAAATATAACGATAGTTCAATGTAGATAGAAAATGATCATATTTTAGCACTAAAATAGCCGGATTTACCAATAAAATGACCAAATTCGAAATTATAAATAAATAGAGCTATAAAAGAACAGATTGATTTAGCTATAAACAATCAAAAAATTGCCAGATCTAGCTTGAAATAGTGGAATTGGCAACAATGTGCGTTAGTCGACTTGGTATTTATATTGTCTTTGATATGTGTGTGTGTGTGTGTGTGTGTGTGTGTGTGTGTGTGTGTGTGTGTGTGTGTGTGCGGCTACAGCTGCTGCTGCTGCTGCTGGTGGTCAGTTACTCGTACCTCCTTGTGCTCGGCCATAAACTCGCTGAGCGTTTTTACCTTGACTTTGGGCTTGCTGCCGCTGGGCCGATCCTGGCCGCGATCGGGCTGGGCGTCGATGTCGCCGCCGGCGGCGCCCAATGGATCGTCATTTGATATACTCAATTGATCCATGGTAGCAGCAAGAAAATCCTCGTTATTGTTTTCGCCCAAAACGAACTGCGGCAGTTTGCAGCCAAAGACGAGCGATTTCCAATGATGACGCTGCTGCTCCACGCACATCTGCAGCGTCTCCAGGCAGCTCTGGAAGGCAACCGTCGGCGAACGTTGGGCGGTTGTTGAACCGAATTGGGGCGTCGGCACCGGATCGCCCAGCAGCGTTTTTGTGCACATGGTCATCGCATACGATATGGAATTGACATTGTAGCCACCCTCCAGGCAGACGATGATCCGACCGCCGGCCAAGGCCGACAGCCAATGGGTGAACAGGCCGTAGCCCTCCGGCGTCACCTTGCAGCCGCCCAATGGATCCCCAATGGCCGCATCGAAGCCGGCCGAGACCAGCACCAGCTGCGGACTGAACTCGTATGCGATGGGCAGGATTAGCTGCTGGAAGGCCAATGCGTACTCCAGATCGCCCATGCCCTTCTGCAAAAGCGAAAAGGTAAAGGGTATGCGTTAGCCAGGCTTTGCCATGCTATTCAGTTCCATGTAAAAGATGGAACATATACATATACTCCAAGAGTGGAGGGAGCCGCACTCACCTTATTCCAGGGTATATTCACATTGAAGCCACGTCCGGCATTCTTGCCGACGACATCGAAATTGCCAGCGGGACCCTTGGGAAAGAAGGCGCCATGCTCGTAACGATGAACACTTATGTAGAGCACCTTGGGATTGGACTCGAAGATGTGCTGTGTGCCGTTGCCATGATGGACATCCCAGTCGACAATGAGTATGCGCTCGAGTCCATATTCGCGTATGGCATACTGGGCCGCAATGGCCACATTGTTGAATATACAGAAGCCATGCGGCTGATCCGGCTCGGCATGATGGCCCGGCGGCCGGACATTGCAGATGCCGCTGCGGGATTGGCCGCGCAGTACGCTGTCCACCGCCTGGAGTACGGCGCCGGAGGCGAGTATGGCGCACTCGAAGGTGCGCGGATGCAGGTACACCGAATTGTAGCCGGCGCCAACTTGCTGCAGCTCCTCAACGCTGCGTCCCAGCAGGCGGCGCACCGAATTGACATGGGCGCGCGTATGGGCCAGGCACACCTCGTCTGTGGTGGCGGCGCGCGCCTCCAGCTGTTGCATCCGTC